CATTGGAAAGTCATAGCCCCAGCTTAGCCCCAGCTTAACCCCACTGAAGATTTATGGGCATGTTTACATCCATGACGTTTTTAGTGGTACTTGCTGCTAGCACTATTTCTCCATCACCTGGTGGATCAGGCAGGAGGTAGAAAGAGGGCAGGAGAAGAGGCAGCTGCAACTCTGGGGTAGCATCTCTGGACACTGTCTTAGCAAAGGCAGAGGGAAGTCCACACTGTTACCAAAACCGACAGAATACCTGAGGATCCAAGGCTACCATGAAAAATGTAAACTCAACACAGAAGGGAACAGGGGTGAGCAATGTTGTTTTATGAGTCCACTCACTCTACCTTGAAGAAGGTAATATTATGAGGAGGCAATAACAAGCTGCTCCACTTGGAGGGGGCCCCTCAGCAGCTCCCCTTGGATCCGTCTGGTCTTCTCACCTTACTCAGGGGATTAACACCACTTTCACAGTGTAGATGTCAGTGACTGCTGAGTTAGACAAGGAACCTTGAAGTCAGCAATGCTGGCTCCTGGTGGCGGTGGTGGGGTCAACTGTAATACTAGCCTTGCCAGCCTCCATAAGGCCTCAGTTGGCTCCAGGTTTTGGCTGAGATAACATCTTCCAGCCATCAAGATCCACTGGAAGCTGATCAGAGTCCATAATTCCTTAGAGAGACCTGTCTTGACACTGCCTGGCTTAGCTTGATCTGCTTGTCCCCTGAACTTCCCTGGCAGGTTCCAGCTCCTGTGACAGGCAGTATGAAGTTTCTGGGTTAACCAGCCCCGGTATAAATAGCTTGAGTCTGGCCTGCTGCTCTCCTTGTTCACTGTGCAACCACAGAACCTTTCGATGGCCACCAACTTGGATGACTTCAAAGGTGGATCAGACGAATTCATGTAGATCAAGGCTATCAAAGGCTACTAGTAACGATGGCTGTGCAGTCATGTGTGGTGTAGTGGTTAAGAGCGGTGGACTCGTAATCTGGTGAACCAGGTTCGCATCCCCGCTCCTCCACATGCAGCTGCTGGGTGACCTTGGGCTAGTCACACTTCTCTATAGTCTCTCAGCCTCACTCACCTCACAGAGTGTTTGTTGTGGGGGAGGAAGGGAAAGGAGATTGTTAGCCGCTTTGAGACTCCTTAGGGTAGTGATAAAGTGGGATATCAAATCCAAACTCTTCTTCTTCAGTAATGTTGAAGGCAATAGTGCTTCTGAATACCAGTTGCTGGAGGCCACAGTAGGGGAGAGTGCTACTGCATGCATGTCCAGCTTGAAGACTTTCCACAGGGATGTCAGTGACCACTGTGAGAACAGGATGCTGCTCTTATTATGCTCTTAAGTGAACAGTGAGGCAGGAGGTCACACAAAGCTTTAGGAAGTAAGGGCAAATGTGAGATAGCGTCCAACACACCCACAGGGGTGCCTCTGAATACTTTCTGGGACTCACAAGTGGGGAGAATGCTGTTGTGCTCACTTCCTGCTTGTGGGCTTCCCAGAGTTCATGGTGACCTTTTGGTGTCCCCATAGGCGTGATGTTGATGTTTGTTCTCTATCTGCTACCGTATCTGTCTGTGCCTGCTTGTTCTGTGGTTGCTACCAGTATGTATGTCGGTTATTTATCACAGGGTGGGGTTGTTCAGTACTGTATGTTGCTGCTACCTGACTTGATAAGATGGATGACAAATGTTAAGGAAAAAAATAAGACACAGAAGTCCTGTACAAACCCCTTGAAGATTTTTATCCAAGTTCTCTCCCCTGTGCTTCCTGTCTGCCTCACTCATATTATTAGTTTCTGGGAGGGTTTTTTTTTAATGAGTAGTATCTTGAGAACCTACTTTAAAGAGGAAAGAAAACCCAGTTATTTCCCCTCCCATTGATCTCTTGCACTCAGCTCCTGACATCAATGCAAATTCCTTTTTTGGGGGGTGGGTGAACACACAGAATAGCTTTTTTTAGATCAGACTTTCGCTGGCCATTAGCATCAGAGAGTCATTTGAATTGGCTTACCCTCATGAGCTGCAGAGAGCAAAACCTTCAGAAATTCACGAACTTTTCTGATCTTTTCTAGGCCATCTCTAATTAGTAAAAAAACCAGGACAGCAATTTCCCCCCTCCCCACCCCCATCAAGTTTGGCACTCTATTATTGATAATGCCATGTTTGCAAAACGGACAACATGATACAGTTCACAACTTCAAACAATAACATGAAAGCCATAAGAATGTGATGTCTGATCCCTGTGACTTGAAACTGCAAGTATAATTTCTTACAAGGGTCTTCTTGCTCAGTTTCAAGCTTTGTAAATAGGAAGTGGAAATTTTCACAGCACGCCAAAAGCATCGCACCAAACAGCAAACCATCAAGAGTTGTTCAGTGGCAAAGCATCTGCTTTGCATGTAGATAGTCCCAGGTTCAAACCCCAGATTCTCCAAGCAGGGAGGGGAAACGTAAAACCTGGAGAGCTGCTGCCAGTCAGTGCAGGCAATACTGAGCTAGATGGACCCATGGTCTGATTCAATATAATGCAGCTTCCTATGTTCCTAACAGGATTTTAAAAGTGTAAAGATGTTTCTCCAAGCACACCAATACACAAACTTCAAAGCCAGAAATATTGCAATTCACAAATATGATGTGCTACTAGCAACACACCACTTCAGAGTGCAAGGACTGGAAAGTGTAGGTTTAAAATCATGTTTCCCAATTAAAAAAAAAAAAATCCCAGCTGGGCTAGCATTCCCCTATAGATTCTGGTTTTCTACATACAGGAAGTTTGCTTGCTTGCTTGTTTTTTTAACCAGTGTTCATCTGCAAATAGTTTCAGGATGAACATTATGCTTTTAAGGTAGCCTTCGCCAACCTAATGTGCTGAACTACAGCTCCCATCAGCCCCAATACATACGGTTATACCATCTGGGGTCAACTTGAATTGTACTCAAAAAGATTTAGATGCACCAGGTTGACTAAGCCAGCTTTAAGGAATTCAAAATGACCACCCAAACACCCTCGCTTTGGTCTTTTTTAAAGGCCACATTCACTGCTATTTATTGTCATTAATTTCTCAGGGTGGATGCCATTTTCCCTTCACTGATCTCGCTCATCTGGAGTGATCCCAGCCAACCACGGACTCCATAGAGAGATTGGAACGATGTCACAGAGGGCAAATGTTGTCTAGAAAGCAATGTTTGTTGGACTGGTCACATGAATGATCCTCTTTAATCGGGAGCCACATGGTCTCTTCTCTAAGTAGGCAAGGAGGCATCCGCAAGTACTTCGCCAGTTTAAGAAACAGGTGGTCTAACGCATGACCCCTCCTCCATTTCCCACAGGCATCTGACTGGCCAATGTGAGAGCAGGAATCTGGACTAGAAGGGCCACTTGCCTGATGCAGCAGACTCCTCTTATGGGTCTAGATCTTCTGGCTCTATTTTGCTGACAGTCCCTGTTCATGTCACAATAAATTTAGTAATAGTGCAGCAAGGTTCTTTGTCGTTTTAGTGACAACAACCTTGTGCAGTTGCCCTTATGGAGTTCACCCCTGACAGCAAGAGGCCAATGAGCACCTGGCACCTCAGAGGGATGACTGCAAGGGCCGTCAATCAAAAGGGCAGTGGGGGAGCTTGGCCAGCGGATGGAACTGTGCAGCGCCAAGGCCCCGCTACAAATGGTTCCTAAGCAACGCAACTCCCATCTCTCACTCTCCTCTCCTTCCCTCCTTGCTTCCTTCCTTCCATGCTGTTTAATTATAAAAAGTTGCCTTTTGATTTGGGAGCCCTTCACATCGCTTCCTCTGCAACCCCATTGTTTTCTTGGGAGGGCTTGCTGCTGTGATGATGACACCGCTCGACAGAGAGAAGGCGGCAAAAGTTGTCCATCGCCAGTAATTAAGGCTCGGCGCTCCAGAACCCAAAACTTGGTAGCTGGTTTTAATGCTGGTCCGGATCTCTCCTGTTAAGGGGAGCAGCCAAATTTCCCAAGAAATCCTATCACTAATGTATCTTCAGAGCCACAGCTGTTGCTCAGTGTGACTCTGCAGTCACAGCGGCAACGTTGAAGCAGCATTTCTAAAAATAATGCCATTAGCGGCAGAAACCGCTGGCTGTTTGAATTAAACAGAGCCATTGTTGGCAAGTGATTCCCACCTCAGACACAGTCTTAAATGGGCAACTTTACTCTGCCACCTTTCAGCTTCAGCCTCAGTAAAATGTGAATAATAAAGTGTGCTGCAATATTTGTCCATGTGTAACAGTGACAATCAAAACAGGAGGGCAGCATCTGGGAGAATTCTGGGCTTTACTATAGATCAGTGCTTTTCAACCAGTGTACCGTGGCACCCTGGGGTGCCTTGAATGATGGTCAGGGGTGCCATGGCCTCTGTCTGTTTTTCCTTCCCTCCCTCCTCTGATGCCCTCTCGCATCTCTGCCTCCCAAAGGCTTACACAGCTGTTTGTTGCAGCAACCCTGCTGCTGCCACCACTGCTGCCTCTCAAGGTAAGACCCTGGTCTCACATTCACATTTGGCCAGTCTCTGTTGGGATCACCCTCTGCCCAGGCCTGTGTGGGGTGACGTGCTTTCAGTGTTGCTTGTGCTTGCAAATGTTTCAGGACATTTCTAATCAGTGCATGTGCCACCAGCTGCTGCTGAAGTCCTGTAACCCTTTATGCCGCAAATGGTCCAGGATGTGTGTGACAAATACGATGCTGCATCATTCGGGAAGCACCACAAAGCAGAATGATCTGTGGTTGATCCCGTACAAATCCATCACTAATACACTATTACTGCATCAATGACATGTTCCAGAAGACACTTGCAAAAAACTAAACAACACACACACACACACACACACACACACAACCCACCAGCAGTCTGGAGGGGCTCTTAAGGTATCAATGAAGATCTCACTGGCCTCAATGGGATTTTAAAAAAAGGTTTAAAGGCAAAGTGTGGCACTTGAACTGGTCATGGATAGAGGTGCAGGATAACATACTTGTCAGCTTGCCATTTTTACCTGTCCAACCAGCAAGGCAGCAACAATAACCTGTAACCGGATCACATCCATCTGCATGGCTACAATCACAGTGTTCGCTGCAGTTCAGGCCGTATGTCCCGTCCTTCCAGAAAAAGAAACAGAGAATGGGAAAGCCTCTTAGTTATTTATATATATATATATATCTACATTTTCCTACCAGCCACTCTGGTAGTTGTGATTGTAATTAGACCTAAACGACTGCCTTTTCCAAGTACCAACCTTCTCAGGCGCTACAATCAGCAGGCGAGGCCTTGTTGGTGGTTCTGCCACCAGGGCCTGCCTGGTTGGCACTCGCTCATGGCAGGGCCTTTTCAGGGGTGGCTCCATGGTTGTGGAATGCCCTCCCTAGTAAGGTGCTTCTCCATCATTATTAACTTTCAGGAGGAATTTGAAACCTTTCCTGTTTGCTCAGGAATTTGGTGGCTGAAGAAAAGTGTTCTTGGCAACCACAAGATCCTTGGATGGAATAATATTTCTAATGATAACATTGCTTTTAGAATGTTTTAACTGTAATAGTTTTTAGATGTTTTTAACTGTAATTGCTTTTCAAACATTTTAACTGTTTTAGGATGTAGATCTGAAAAGCAAAGCAAAAACAGAGGTTCTGTGTACAGAAGTCTTCTTCTGCAAAAGTTGGAGGGACCTTGCAGCCTTCATGAGGCGGGGTGGGGTGGATGTCCTAGCATAGATGTTAACCACTGATCTGGGCATTTTCATGCACAACACTGAAAAGACGTTTTGTTCCCTTTGTTTGGATGCTGTTCTTAGGTCAATGGCACCCTAATTACTGACCTGGATAAGGATCAAAAGTAAACTTACAGGGCAGGGCTGGTCACAGAAATCCCCTTGCCAGCCAGGAGAGCAAAGGCAGAATCCATCTACAGGGTTGCAGGCAGCTCCATTGGCACAGTAACATGACTGGTTGCAGTTGAGACCCCAAGTGCCACTCGGACATGGAATGGAACAATCTGTTCCCTGCCACCCTGGAACAAGACAGAGCACAAGTCAGATGTGTCAACCATTACCCCCTTTAGAGCAGACCCTGCTATTAGGAAGGACAAGGAAGCTGCCTCAGGTGGCAGAAGCTGAGGGGTGTGGAGCAGACAGGGGTGTGTACATGGCTCAAGTGAAGTACAATGCGCTGTCCAGTCACTAGTGCTGAAATAGGAGTCAATTGCCGTTATTCAGTGCATGGAATAGGCGGCACCATCTTGTCCTTTGCCCTAGAAAACTGGGTCATCTTGGCTACCCTGCCCTGCAGATCTTTCTTGGAGAAGGCACCCAATTTAGAGATGGTAGCAGTTGTTTGTGTCACGCACCCACAGAACTGTGCCATCTAGATTTCTTGTCATGTTTCCAATCAGTAGGGCAGAGTGTGCTTTGGAACATATGGTGACGGCTAGTGTTTTGGGGAAGGCTGTGTTAACCACACAGGAATGGCCAAGCCAAAAGCAAGCACAGGAATCAATCGATCGGAATTCAGCTTTCACAAGTGAAGTGTGTGAGAACATTCAATTGAGAATCTTCATGGTCTGAGGGGACATGGAATTTCTACCTAAGTGCCATAGATTTGTGCAGAGTCAGTACAGACAATGCCAATCTTCTTCTTCCTGTAAATTTTTATTCCAAGTAACATTTTTACAGATCAGTTTCATTTGTTGAGACATTAGTGTTACTTTAGGAAGAAAAGGGGGAGAGAGGTGGAGGGGGGAAGGACAAGTGGGGGTGGGGTCGGGTGGCGATGTTTCTATTTTACTTAATGTATGTGTGGGGTTTCGTGTCAGCGTCGCTTGTGCAGGTTCTCTGCTATTCGCTTGTGCTCCTTTGGTGGTGAGGGAGGTTGTAGGTAGCCTAGGGTGTGGTTGTTCGTTTGTGATTGGCTGTGGTGAGCTTTGTTTTCATGTGTGAGTGGGGTAGGTGGGTGTTTTGGATCAGGTTAGCCATATTGATTCATATGCTGTTGGTGGATTCTTGCCGTCTTGTTGGCAAGAAGGCGTCTTCTTCTATTTGTCCCCGTGTCAGTTTCAGTTTATTGGTTATTTTTTCTAGTAGGGCCGTTTCCCATACTATTTGGTACCATTGGTCCATGCTTACTCCTGACAGGTCTCTCCAATGTCTGGTTATGATGTTTCTGGCTGCTGAAAGTAGGTGGGTTATGAGTTCTTTGTGATGTTAATAGCCGTTATTGTCTTGGAAGATGTTTAGTAGGGCCAATTCTGGGGTTATTTCTAATACTTGCTTAGTTATTTTACACATTTCTCGTATGGCTGTTGTCCAGAATAGTTGGATTTTGGGGCATTCCTACCACATGTGGAGGTATGTGGAAGCGGTAACCCTCTCCAGCATTTAGGTGAAGTTCCTGGGCGCATTAGCACTAGTTTTCTTGGTGTTAGGTACCACCTGTAGGTGAGTTTCAGAGTGAGTTCTTTTCTTTTCATGGATATGGATTTAAAGGGTGGGGTAAGACCATATTTTGGTCCACTGGATGGGGTTAATCTCATAATTTATGTTGTCCTCCCATTGTTTTTTAATTGCCTCTAGGAGGTTCGTGGGATTTTGGAGTAGTATTTTGTATATTGCAGATACCATCCCCTTGCCGTGTCCCTTTGTTGTTAGGAGGAGGTTTTCGAAGGTTGTCAGGGGCCTAGTTGCTGCTGATTTCACTACTTGATTGTTTAAGAGGGCATGTAATTGGTGGTGTGTTAACCAGGGCATTTGGGTGTCTTCTAGTTTGTCCTGTATTTCTTGTGTTGACAAAGGTTTATTTTTATTTTTATAGAAGTCTATTAGGCCATATAAGCCTCTGGTTTGCCAGGTTTTAATCTGGAGGTTTTGTGCTGTGTGGTGGAATAATGGGTGGTACGCCAGGGGAATTAGTGGGGCTGGGGCTGGAGATAGTTTGCCCATTTCTGCTTTCCATGCTTTGAGCATGGTCTGTGTGTGCCTGTTAAGTGTTGTGGGTATTTTCCTTAGTTTGTTTGGGAAGAGTGGGTATGCTGTGGGACAATGCCAATCTTGATGGACCAATGGTCTGACTTAGTGTAAGGCAGCTTCTGATGTTCCTGTGTGCTGCTGAGCGTTCACTCAGCAGCCATCCCTGATACATGTACCTACATGACATGCAGAGTAATACACAATTTACTGTGTGATCAGAGGTCACAATGTTAAATAATAAATACTGCTACTAATAATAACATACAAAATGAAATATTCTTAACATTTTTAGGTGTACAGTGCACACACACACAAAAGTATTTGGAAGTAAAAGCACAATGTGACTCAGGCATTTGCTCTATGACAGCCCATCAACATGCGAAAGCCATCACGTATTGTCAACTGACAGACATGCATGTGTCAACCATATCATAGTAGCAGGATAAAAAAATCCCTTCCAGTAGCACCTTAGAGACCAACTAAGTTTGTTACTGGTATGAGCTTTCGTGTGCATGCACACTTCTTCAGATACACATAGTAGCAGGGATACACCAATGTTACCCGATTCCTGAAGAAACACAAACATAGACCTCCGAAGGGCAGCATAACACTCCATGATTTACTACCAACTTGAGAGATCCTGACCTGCTTCACAGCCTGGAGCCATTTGGTGAACATTTTAGCACAGGAGAGTATGATTTATGCTACCTCACGGTAGCCCTTGAAGCAGGACCTTTACCTTCTCTGCAAAAGCATGAACCGTCCACTGGGGAGCACCCGCCATCGTTTCTGCAGTTGCAAACCAATGAGCAGTTGCCTCCGTATGTTCCGGCTGCACAAACGACAGAGCAGTCTTCTCCCTGTAAACCAAAATGAAACCAAGCTGAGGAAGAAGGAGAAGTATGGGGTCGAGGTAATCATGGCCAGCTCAGAAGCTAATAAGAGGATCGTAGAACTTGCCCATCTTTACTGAGAAGGCCCAAACTCCTTGCACTTCCCTCAAGGATGATACAGCTGAATCCCTGAGGGCATCTGGAAGAATGCTCAGAAAGAGCAATTTCCTAAGGCAGCCTTCTTCAGCTTGGTAACTTCCAGATGTTTTGACTACCACTTGCGTTAGCCCCAGGCAGCATGGCCATATACAGTAACGCTGGGGCTGATGAGAGCTGTAGTTCAAAGCAACTAGAGGGCGGAAGAAGAAGAAGAGGAGGAGGAGGAGTTTGGATTTGATATCCCGCTTTATCACTACCCGAAGGAGTCTCAAAGCAGCTAACATTCTCCTTTCCCCTCCTCCCTCACAACAAACACTCTGTGAGGTGAGTGGGGCTGAGAGACTTCAGAGAAGCGTGACTAGCCCAAGGTCACCCAGCAGCTGCATGTGGAGGAGCGGAGACGCGAACCCGGTTCCCCAGATTACGAGTCTACCACTCTTAACCACTACACCACACTGGTAAGCTTGGTTCAGGCTGTCCCTAAGGTATAACAGAACAACACAGTGGCCTGCAGCATCTCAAAACATGTAAATGGACACAGAGAAAAAAATACACAGAACAATCTGCATGCTGCTTCCAGCATCCTGTGTAGGAAACGAATCACGCCAGAAGCTAAACAGTGCACAGTTAATCCATGGAACTCACTCCCACATGAAACTGGGATAGCCACCAACTTGGATGATTTTAAAAGAGGATTGGACCAATTCATGGAGAAGACGGTTGCCAATGGCTACTAGTCATGATGGCTGTTGCTCTGCCTCCACCGTCAGTTTTTCTGAATACTGGTTTCTGGAGAATGCAGGAGTGTGGCGTGTGTTATTGTGCTTGAATTATGTTTGTGAGCTTCCCACGGGCATCTGGTTGGCCAATGTGAGAATAGGATGCTGGACTAAATAGCTTGTTGCTTTGACCCAGCAGGCTCTTATGATGTTCTTAAGTGACCCTGAAATACTGCAGAAGTGGGAAACTGCTATGAATCTTGTTGAAACCCCTTTCAGTTTTGCATCACATTTAAAGTTATCCTTGAAAGGTTGAATCATCATAGCAGCAAAGCTGAGATTCTCAACATTCTAAGGAAGCATCTCCGGGTCTGAAAAGCAGCCTGGGCTATCCAGCCATTGCCATCTCCAGTTTAGACAAAGTCCTTCTACACAATGTCCATTGTTTCCCAGGAACTGACAGCATCACAATGGTTTCTTTTGGACTGGCGCAAAAGGAGAACAGGGACAAATTATTGGCAGCCGTACAGCTGGAGGTAGGAAAGGTAAAATGGCAAATCTCTCTGAACAGCTGTTTGCTCATTAAGAAAAACATCACGGACAAAGCGCTAATCACAAAAGACGACAAGGGCTTAATGTCGTGCGAAGCTTGGTCTCCTCGCAGAGGCAAAATAAGCAAACAAACAAACAAACAAGGCCCCAAAGAAGTGATATTTTCAAATCCCAGAGAAACTGCTGAGCATACATAATGATGTATTATTTATATTGCAAAATCAATGTATGAGATGCTCTGCAAATTAGCACAAATAAAAGGGAGGGGAAATGTCTGTGCCCCAAGAAAGTTGCAAAACTGAAGTTCATCTGTGTAATGGAAAGGCTGGAATATATATGCTTTACAGAATCTCAAAACATTGAGTCAGACAGTTACATTATGGCATTCATCTACTGAACCTGGACTGAAACACTGAGGTAACAATGGAAACCAGTAAACATAAGAAGGTGCTACTGGATCAGGCCAGGGGCCCATCTAGTTCAGCATCTTTTTCTCACAGTGGCCAGGGAAAACTTGTACACAGGTGGACCTTTTTCGTTGAGAAGGATGGTGCCCAAAGAATGTGTGGTAGGAGCTGTTAAGGTCAAGGAGTGTGTGGAGAAACTTCGGGGGGGGGGGGGGAGAAGGTTCCATCAACCTTCGCGTGATAATAATTCTCAAGGCCGTTCCTTTAGTTCAGAGACAGAAGAGCTTGGCATTAACTGAGTGAGGGATGAGGGAACTTCCCCTCTAAGGCCAACACTACATGGCTTTGTGATAAACACACATTTTTAAAAAGTGTGCTTAAGCTGGTCACTTTTGTTTGGAAGAAAGAAAACAGTCGTGTCCCCACCATTCTGGAGTGTGCTCTTGATCTGATCAGGGTCCCTCCCTGGTTTCCTGCCACCCCCCCACAACTGCTATTTGTTCCAACTGTTTATCATTAAGAAGAAGGAGTTCAAAATATGGTGATATTCCATGGCCACTATGGCTTTTTATCAGGCAGACTGCCAAGCATTTCCTCTGAAAGGGCCGGCCCTACCATTAGGCAACGTGAGGTGAGGGATTGTGTGAGGCAAGCAGCAGCAGCATGTGCTGCTTTCTCTAAGCTAGTCTGCTGCTCTCAGGTCCGGTGGAAGGCCAGGATGAAGACACGTGTCTTCTACATCTGCTGAAAACTGCACAATGAAGGTACCAGCCACATCTTCTTAGAGGTGGCCAGAGAGAACGCCCTCTCCCAGGCCACCATCCCACAGAGCTTTTGCGGATGGTGGGACTGCTAAGAGGGCTTCAATCCTATGCACAGTTGCCAGACTACAAGGCCTTCTGAACACAGTGGGGCTTACTTCTAAGTAGACAGACATAAAGGTAAAGGTAAAGGGACCCCTGACCATTAGGTCCAGTCGTGACTGACTCTGGGGTTGCAGCGCTCATCTCGCTTTATTGGCCGAGGGAGCCGGCGTACAGCTTCCGGGTCATGTGGCCAGCATGACTAAGTCGCTTCTGGCGAACCAGAGCAGCCGCACGGAAATGCTGTTTACCTTCCCGCCGGAGCGGTACCTATTTATCTACTTGCACTTTGACGTGCTTTCGAGTTGCTAGGTTGGCAGGAGCAGGGACCGAGCAGCGGGAGCTCACCCCGTCGCGGGGATTCGAACCGCCGACCTTCTGATCGGCAAGTCCTAGGCTCTGTGGTTTAACCCACAGCGCCACCCGCGTCCCAGACAGACATAGGATTGCCCTTTTAGCTTCTATACCAGAAAACATATGACTCAAACCAGCTGCAGCCGCTCCAAGCAGGGATTAATTCTAAATGCAAAAATCATTAACATTTTCACCTCAATTTGGGGAGCCTGGCTTACGGAATGAGATGCACGTGGGCACTTCTATCCAATTGACGCACCCGCAACCTCCCCACCTCTGACGATGATTGCAACAGGCTCTCTTCCTTGCCATTCATTAATGAGTATATATTCTATTAGGCTGGGGATCAAATGTTAGCGGATCTTTTCTCTTGCAATATGGTGTTTCAGATTCCTATCCCATTTACCGAAATTAATCAACATCTGGGCTCCATATGGTGACCGTTCTCTCCCTCCCTTTTCTCCCACCCTTTTCCTTCTGGGCAGTTTGGCAACTTAATCAGTACGGAACATTCCAGCAGAAAGGGTACCACTGGAGGCAGCATGAAACGAGAAAGGATAGTGAATTAAATTCAAAATGTATAACCCACCCACCCCATGGGAAGTGGGGGAAAGGTGTTATGGCTATATTAAGGAATCTCGCCATAAATAGACTGATATTTAATGCCTCTTTTCCCCACAGCTGAGGATTCCATATGGACCACGTGAAGATTCATCGGCAGTTAATTGTTTGCTGTGGGATTTCAGCTTAAAGGGCTGATTTGAAAGGGCTGTTCTCCGTTCCTGAGCTCAATGGAAATGCTTGCTTCCTCCTCCCCACGTAACCCCCCCCCCATGCAAGCTGCTCTTCACCACAATGTTGGGGAGGAAGATGAGGACAGGTATCTGTATTGTATCTGACTCTCCTCCCCTGGCTGTTATGGAGATTTCCATAATATAATTTCCATGAGAAAGATATCATAAGACAAAAAGGTTACTCTCCCACCAAAAGCCGGATTCTAATTCTCGCTCCCACTCCGCCGGCTGATTTTAGCCAAAGAACAAAACTTTGATCAATCCCAGAATGAACCACTGCCCTCTCTCTCTCTTATTGATTTTTTTTGCTGTGGTTTTATCCATGTATTTTCTCATTGAAATAATGGAAATTGTCATATTAGCAGGGTGGGGGCAGACACAATATGGATACCTGACTCTTTCCACCCTTCATGGTGAATGGCAGCTTGCATGGACTGCATCAGGCTTCAGGTGGGACAGCTGCACATTTGAGAGGCACCCTGCAGGTGGGACAGCTGCACATTTGAGAGGTACCCTGTGGTTGAGGGTCACAGGGAGTAGGGGAAGGATGAAGACCTGTTTGTGTTTGTATAGTAGAGTCCCAGTCTCCAGCATCTTAGAAATGCCCAATCAACATGAAAGGCGAGCTTTTTAGTCACGGAGAAGCAGTTTTCTTACCCCTTGTGCTGACTGGTGCCAAGAAGAGTAAACGAAGATGAGTTAGCTACGGAGGATGGGCTCCTAGGGTCTCAAAAGGGTTGCAAAAAAGAGAGAGAAAATGGGGTTGCCTCCCCCACCTTTGGCTCAGGCCCCACCCACTGCCCATGATGTGGCCCCAACAGATAACTCCCAAGGGAATGTGGCCCTCAACAGGGGGGGGGGAAATGGTCACCCACTACTGATTTAGGGAGAAGGTTGTATTTTTTTCTTCTTTTCCTGTTTCTCTTTCAAAAATGTAAAATGCACATTTTGTGTGTGTGTCCCCCCCCCCCAGCATCATGAGTAAGGCAATGGTATGAAGCAGAGTGCATTAAAAGAGACACAGAGGGAATTTGGTGAAATAAAACCCATTGCTCCCCCATCAAGGGAGGGTGTTGTAGGAAATGTACAATTTGCAGGGGCCACAGATGTTTATAAAATCCAGAGAGTAGGTGAAAGGTACAAATAGACACTTTTATCTCTGCAGGTCTGAGTGACAAA